GTATGGCACATTCGCACATATCATTTTAGTTCATGATTACAGCAATCCAGTGAATCAGGTATTATTTATGTTGCAAATATTTTTACCTATGAATGAGGAAACTCTAGAGAAATTTGTCATAATTATGAAGTTTAGGTCCATATATAGAACTGATTTCATAATGAAGTCTTCAACATTAAAAAGTTATCTGTTGCTGGACATAGTGGCACACGCCTGTAATCCCAGCAGCTTGGGAGGCTGAGGTCAGAGCATTGCAAGTTCAAAATCAGCCTCAGCAATGGCAAGGTAGTAAACAACTTAGTGAGAACCTGTCTCTAAATAAAATACAAAATACAGTGTCCCATGAGTTCAATCTCTGGCACCCCCCAAAAAATATAAAAAGATTTTTTATTGATGGAAGAATGTTCTGGTGCCTAGTGAACTTCCTTTCAATGATTGGTAGTCACTCCCTTTTTATGTGAAAGGAACTTGGTATATCATTTGAAAGTGGATATTTAAAATTGGTCGACTTGTATTTTATGTCAAATATGAAAGTACAGTAAATTCTCTAAATATTGAAATCAAGAATGCTTAATGTTCACCAGGTACAGTGGTACATGCCTGTAATACCAGCTACTCAGGAGACTGAGGCAGGAGGACTGCAAATTCGAGGCCAGCATCAACAACTTAATGAAGCCTTAAGCAACTTAGTGAGACCATGTCTCAAAATTAAGAGTAAAAAGGGGCCTGGGGAATAGCTCAGTTGGTAGAGTGCTTGCCTTGCATGCACAAGGCCCTGGGTTCAATCCCTAGCACCCCCCCCCCGACAAAAAAAATTAAACTAAAAAGGGTTGGTGATATGGCTCAGTGGTTATACACCCCTGGGTTCAATTTTGTTTTGTACTATGGAAAACAAAATTAAAAAGATTAATTATTAATTATTATTTTCCAAGTTTAAAGACCCAATCTATGAGATTTTTTTTTTAATTCTAGGAGTAAAGCAGAAGATTATTGTAAATGGAAGTATTTTAACATAAACTGCGTGAAGTTATTGATTCTGGCTGTTAGCATGACTATCCATGATCTGTGCCTAAAAAGAATTGAAATAAGGAGGAAAAATTTGCAATGAAAAATAAGAATTTATCTCCAAAGTAAGAAGATATACTTATTTTTTTCTTTTTCTCTCTCCAGACCGGAGTCGATCTGAGTTAGATTTGAGTGAATCATTTACAGAAGACTTAGAAGATACTGTAAGCATAAGAAGCAGATCGGTCCCTGGGACTTTAGACAAAGACTTGGTAAGTTGGATGTGTAAGAGTCCAAGATATGACAAAAGAAGGTCATGGTCTTGCTCCAAGTAGTTCCACTTTTAGGTGATGATGAGTTACCTAAAGGAACTTAGTTATCTAAGTTATCTCTTCTTGTTAGTCTTAACATAATAAGTGCTACTAAACCAGGTGCGGTGGTGGCACATGCCTGTAATCCCAGCAGCTCAGGAGGCTGAGCCAGGAGGATTGTGAGTTCAAAGTCAGCCTCAGCAACTTAGCAAGGCCCTAAGCAACTCGGGGAGACCCTGTCTCTAAATAAAAATAAAAAGGACTAGGGATGTGGCTCAGTGGTTAAGCATCCCTGGGTTCAATCCCAGTACCAAAAAAAAAAAAAAAGGAGTAACTAAAAGAATTATTTATAAAAAGCAACTAATCAGATTAATGATAGATTATCTCTAGCAAAGTATCTGTCAAGAGATTTATTTCCATTCCTGGCTAAAGGCTCATCAGTTCGTCTAAACCTTGGATCTAAGGGATCTTGGCATTTTCTAAACCAAATATTACTTTCTGACTATATATTTTACATGACCCTTTTTTATATATCAAGTTGTCCCCAATAAGCTGCCTTCCTGAGACTAAATTATGTGAGAATTAATGTTCCAGTGCACTCAATTATAAAATGAGAAGGTTAAATTTGATTATTGTTAAGATTACTTCCCACTCTAATATTCTGATATTCTGATTTCTGTAACTGCCATAATGAAATTTGAACTCCTTAGAAGAAAGATATAGCACAAATGTTAATTGATATTAATAGTTTTTCCAAAGCAAGCCAGGAAACTTAGAGCTCTGGAACTAAATATTATTTACTGCAGCATAAAAAACTGGGAAAGTATTTTAAAATCCACTAGAATAAAGAAAGTATTTGGGCTGGGGATGTGGCTCAAGCCGTGGCACGCTCGCCTGGCATGCATGGGGCACTGGGTTGATCCTCAGCACCACATAAAAATAAAATAAAGATGTTGTGTCCACCGAAAAAAAATAAATATTAAAAAATTCTTTCTCTTAAAAAAAAAAAAAAAGAAGAAGGTATGCAATGGGATCCAATGATTCCAAGACTTACTTTTAAAGAACTGCTTACCTTTAAAGAACTGCTAACTCAAATGTTATTAAACTATTCCTGTCCTTAGAAAACTATGAAAATCTTCAAATTCATAGTATGAAGCCAGCCAGTTAACTTCTAAAGTCAAACTTGATTTTAAAAATTGTTTAAAAACTAACATCGTATTCAAACTGGTTTATGAAAATATATACTAAACTTAGCCGGGCACAGTGGTGCACGCCTATAATCCCAGAAGCTTGGAGGCTGAGACAGGAGGATCTCCAGTTGAAAGCCAGCCTCAGCAACTTAGCAAGGCCTTAAGCAACTCAGTGAAACTCTCTCGCTAATAAAATATAAAAAAGGGCTGAGGGGCTGCGACTATAGCTCAGTGGTAGAACACTTGCGTAGCATGTGTGAGGCACTAGGTTCAATTTCAGCATTGCATATAAAATAAATAAACAAATAAAATAAAGGTCCATCAACAACTAAAAAAACATATATTTTTTAAAAAAAGTGCTGAGGATGTGTCTCCATGGTTAAGTGCCCCTGGGTTCAATCCCCAGTACCAAAAAATATATATGTGTATGTATGTATGTATGTATGTATGTATATATTTTTACATGAATGTGTGTATATGTATGTATATAATTTAAATATAATATTTATATATTTATATATATTTATATAAAACTTGAAATATAATATCAAGTAAAACAGCAGTGAATCAAAAAATATTGCAATAAGAGTAAGTTTTATTCTAGGTATGAGTTAAAGAATTAATGTATATAAGAAATCTGGTAACATTGTCACTATATTTAAGAACAGGGCCAGGGATATAGCTCAGTTGGTGGAGTAAGGAATAAGGCCCTGGGTTCAATCCCCAGCACCACCACCAAAAAAAAGAAGAAGAAGAAGAACATACAAAACTAAATCAAAAGACTTTTGGCAAAATTTTTGGCAAAATTCTACAGCCTTATTTAATAAAAAAACTAACTTGAATATGATTTCTCAGATACTAAATATCTAAAAGGCCACAACATATTTCACTTTAAATATTGATGTGAAGGAGCTATTTTCATTAAAATGAGAAAAGGGGATTCTCACTGTTGCTATTATTAGTGAACATTGTTCTAAAGGTTCTGAAAAGTGCAATAAGAAAATAAAATGACCTTTATAAATATTAAATAAGATATTAAATTACACATTTTGCTAATAATATGCTTGCCTGATCAAAAAACCCTATGTGGTTTAGTGACTAAAAGCTACTAGGATTCAGGTTGGGGTTGTGGCTCAGTGGTAGAGCATTTGCCTAGCTTGTGTGAAGCACTGGGTTCGATCCTCAGCACCACATAAAAATAAAATAAAATAAAGGTATTGTGTCCATCTACAACTAAAATAAATGAATAAATAAATAAGGTACTAGAAGTAACAAGAGAATTTTAGAAGACCAATAGCTCAGCTACTCTGAGTTTATAGCCCTGGTTGGGGTAAGCAATAGATCCCTGAACTAGCCAGAAATGTAATAGGAAATCAATCAACAAGAAAGTCATATATGGCCTTGATAAGCACTCTAAACATTCATGTGGAGGATTGGGGGGAGGGAAAAGCTGATGGGCATAAGCTATGCAAACATCCCTGGCTGATCATAAACCTGAGCACATGCGAGAAAGCCCTAGGGAAGTAACAGCTGGGGGTGACTTAAAAGGTGACTGATTTTGATACATTCTAAAAACAACACACAGATCCACTGAAATGAGGATGAAGGGTCACTGGCTGGAGGTGTTTGAGCACAATATCTTCACAATCATTAACTTACCATTAAATTCTGCATACACAGAGATGAATCATAGGAAGTTTGTTAAAAGTAAAAACTGAGCAGATACATCAGCAGACACATGGGACAGAAAACAGATTCTACAGATGAGTTCAGGCAAGATGCTAAACCTACAAACTAAAAATCAAGCATATAGAAACAAGCAACAGTAGCAACCCTCAGAATCCAGAGTTGTTACAATACATGAAGGCAAATAAATATTGGTTCTTTGAGGAGATCAACCATATTGACAAACTAGGATTTTCCTAGCCAGGATTTCTCAATCTTGGCACTATTGATATTTCTGACTGTATAATTTTTTGTTGGAGTGGGAGGAATTCTCTTTTGTGTAAAGTAGTATGTTTGGAAGTATCCCTGATCTTTACCTAGGCACCAAAAACTCTCCACCAACTGTGCCCTCAAAATATCCCCAGACATTACCAAATATCCCAGAGGGGACAAATCCATCTCAGATGAAAACCAGTGAGTTAAAGTAGGCAAGAAAAAAGGTGAGAAGACACAAATTACAAAAGGAGAAATAAACAAGGGGATACAACTGCCCATATAACAAAAATGTTAATGATTATAAGGTCATACTGTGAACAACTGTATGCCAACACAATTGGCAGCTTAGATGAAATAGTTACATCTTTAGGAAGACACAAAGTACCAGAAATACCTCAGAAAGTAGAAAATGTGAGTAGATCTGTAATAAGTAAAGATATTGAATTAATAATTTATTATTTTTTTTGCCCATGTACATTTCTTTTTTTCCATATTTTTATTGGTGTATTATTGTACATAATGATGGGATTTGTTGTTACATATTTAAACATGCACACAATACAGCAATATAATGTAGTCAATATCATTCCCCAATATTTTTCCTTTCCCTCCCCTCCTCCTTCCCCTGGTACCTTTCCTCTACTCTGAATTAATAATTTAAGCCTTATTTATTAAAAGAAAAAAAGACCACAAATCTAGCTTTGTGGACCTTTATTGGCATTATTTGCAATTCTAGAATCTGCTAGCAGTGTGGACCAAAAGTGGTTTGGTATGCCTTACCACATGGGCAGGTTATACTTATAGGCAGAGAAAAGGAAGTGACATATAGAAGATGGAAATAAGGTATAGAGACAGCCTAATTGGTCACAATTCAAGTCTATCTTATTTAAATGTGATTTGAACAGTCGGCTGTTTGTGATTGGCCATAGGTGTCTACTTTTACAAGAATAGGTTGCATTCTATTTACATATCATGTTCAGTTGCAGTTCACTGTTTGGAGAAATTAAAGCCAAACTTAAAATATGTATGGAGGAAGCTTTAGGCCAACCTTAAAATTTCTCAAAGAAAACCCAAGGCACAGATGGCTTCACTAATGAACTCCATCAAGTATTTGAAGAAGAAGTAATTCTAACAATTCACAAATTTGTTCAAAAAATGAAGGAAGAAATATTTCTGAACTAATTTTATGAGGTCTGTATTATACTTATAGCAAACCTAGACAAAGACATCATAAAAAAGAAAACAGCTGAGTGTGGTGGTGCATGCCTGTAATCCCAGAAACTTGGGAGGCTGAGGCAGGAGGGTTTCAAATTCAAAGCCAGCCTCAGCAACCTAGTGAGATCCTAAGCAACTTAGTGAAACCCTGTCTCAAAATAAAAAATAAAATGGGTTGGGGATGTGGCTCAGTGGTTAAGTGCCCCTGGGTTAAATCCCTGGTACAAAAGGAGAGAGAGAGAGAGAGAGAGAGAGAGAGATAGAGAGAGAGAGATCTCGGGTGAGTGAGCTACAGACCAATCAATATCCATTATGTCTTTTTTTGGAGGGGTGGGGTTTGCCAGGTATTGAACTCAGGGGCACTGACCACTGAGCCACATCCCCAGCACAATTTTGCATTTTATTTAGATACAGGGTCTCACTGAGTTGCTTAGCACCTCACCATTGCTGAGGCTGGTTTTTGAACTCATAATCCTCCTGCCTCAGCCTCCCAAGCCAATGGGGCATCCAATATCCATTATGAATATAGATGCAAAAATCCTTAATAAAGCCAGGTGTGGCGGCGCATACCTGTAATCCCAGGGACTTTGGAGGCTGCAGCAGGAATATCACAAGTTCAGGGCCAGCCTCCTCCACTTAGCAAGGCCCTAAGCAACTTGGTGAAAACCTGTTTCAAAATTTTAAAAAGGGCTGGGGATATGGCTCAGTGGTAAAGCACCACTGGGTCGGATCCCAGTATCTCTCTCTCACACACACACAAAGTCCTTAATGAAGTATTAATAAATTAAGTCCAGTAACAAAAGAGAATCATATACCATAACAAAGTAGGATTTATTCCAGGTATGCAGGATTGATTTAGCACTCAAAAACAAATTAATGCACCAAGTGTAATTGTCTCAGCCAGGAGAATCCCAAGTTTCAGGCCTGCCTCAAAATTTAAAAAAAAAAAATTAAGTACTGGGGATGTAATTCAGTGGTAAAGCACCCCTGGGTTCAATTCCCAGTACTAAAGAATAAATAAATAAAATTAATGTAATAGCCACATCACCTAGTAGTGATTAGTAGGTGCAGTAAAATTGATTAACAAAATCCAACATCCATTGTCAACAATTTAGAAATAGAGGGAATTTCCTCAGTCTAGTAAAGAACATCTACAAAGTTACTACAACTTAACATCATACTTAATGGCAAAAGGGGCCAAGTTCTTCCTACGTAAGTGGAGGAACAAAGCAAGGATTCTTTTCTTCTGTCCTTCCCCTCCCTTCCCTTCCCTCCCCTCCCAGCCTCCCCACTCCCTCCCTCCCTCCCTCCCTCC